TATAACATGGAATAGCTATTGCAAACTTGCTGAAATTGGTTCTAGCTATTGCAGTAAGAGAGCTCTACCCCTCAGAAAAAAATTGGGTTTCTAATCAAATGTTTAAAATTTTTATGGTACTTTGAACATTAAATGTCCGTACACTACCGCTGTCCGTAAACTCCCACCGTTACTCTACTGCGACTTTGCGCTTTCTCCACTGATATTAGAGACTAAGTATACTATGACTTATCACTTCCGTAAACTACACATAGATCTACTCTAGAGGATTTACAGAACATGAATGCTGAAAACTGAAAAGCGCAGTTGTATGCCCCCAGGCCCTGAGGCCCATATGGCGAGCCGTTTGTTTCAAAATTATTATCGGTCCTCAGTGGCGTAGCCAGGATTTTTGGAAAGGGAGGCAAGCTGTGCGGCGCGCGAAGCGCGCCGCAAAATTTCGCGGAACCACGCCCTTTTGGGGCGTGGACACACCTATTTTTCAACATGGCGGACTTCTTAACCGATCATAGGCAACGTTGAATACCTTTTCAGCCTTATAATGGCATCATAGAAAGACTGCTTTGGCCTTTTCCTTTGATATGTAAGTTGTAGAACAGCTTTTCTTTCCAAAAGCAGCTTATTATTTGATTATTTTTAAATTTTGAGTTTTAAAAAAGGGGGGGCAATTGCCCCCTTGCCCCCCCTGGCTACGCCCCTGGGTCCTGCTAATGTTAAATTTAAACTAAATTTACGGTAGTTTACTGATTTATAGGCGTCCTGAGTTTTCCCAAGGTTTACGGTTTAGTACATACAGAAACACGTGGCCAATGGCCAACTATCTCGTTCTCACTCCTTTTCTATAAACTAGTTCTTTTCTTGTGCAAAGACTATTGTCATCTCAACTAAGATCTTAAATACTGAAGAACTCAAGGCAGAGTTTAATGTACTGATACAAGATAGATCCTTCACTGTGGTATAGCATGAATTGCAAATTTGTGATATGTTTATGAATTGTGTATTCATTATCATTATCTATTTTATGAGCATTGTATCTTCTTTGTCATTTACCATTCATTTATTTACTTTGTATAATAATCAATGTAATAATTAAGCAACAAATAGGAGGGTGCATGTGTGTGTGAGAGAAAGAGGAAGGAGTTCACAAAAGGAAATCAATTTCATACAAAATCATTATGTAACATTGAATGTAAGTATATGTACTAATTGTACTTCAATCACTCTCAGAACTTGATGTGGTTTCCAGCAGATCAATTAGCAATGCTTTTATTTCTAGAAACTCCACATTTGGATCAACACTGCCTACATTTGCTAAGACATGATCCAATTGGCGAATAAATGCATCCTTTATCTCTTCACTTAAATCTTCAAGTGTTTCTGGGATAACAACAGTATTCAGTTGTTCAGCAGCAATTGGGCCTTCCTCATCTAAGCCAAAAACTTCTAAATCCGGTA